CTAAACCTTTTGATGAAAAATAAGTGAATAAGTCAATCTGACCTACTTTCAGGGTCAAGGGAAAACTAGATTTATCTGTTATCAAATACTTCATTAGCCCACTCAGGTCTCGCTCTTGCTCAAGCTGATCTCAAACCTGTGAGCTCAGGCAATACACCAGCCTCAGCCTCCCAAAGTGCTAGGATTACAGGTGTGAACCACTACGCCCAGCCTAGTACAAACAATTTTCAACCAAAAAATAAATTCTTGTTTACTTTCTTTTCCCACATGAAAGTCATAAATGTTAGGGATAAAAGAGTCTCCTTTTATAGACGGAGACACTGAAGACCACCCCTTACCTCATTTTTATCCAATCATTCAGAACTACTTTCAATTCACCAAATGCATTATGCAACCTTGTACCTCTGAGCTTTCTATTTTATTTTATTTTATTTTATTTTTTTGAGACAGAGCCTCAAGCTGTCCCCCTGGGTAGAGTACTGTGGCATCACAGCTCACAGCAACCTCCAACTCCTGGGCTCAAGTGAGTCTCCTGCCTCAGCTACCTGGAATGTTATTGCCTATCAGCCCCTCTAATTCCACTCCCACTAAAACAACTGACCTAGCCCATTTTTCCAAATAGGCTCCATTTCCTCCAGGAATCATTTCCTAACCCTTTCTTGGCCATCACGAGGCTATACATAGATTCCTTTCCTCATAAGGATTTTCTCAAACACCATATAGACGTTATATTTAATACCCTGTACCAAAAGCACTGGTTTACCCAGTCTTTCCCAATGAATTGTAAAAAACTTTATAGACAAGTGTTATGTCTAACTTAACTTTGTATATTAAACACTTGGCATATTTTTGGCATGCAATTGCAGAACCTTACCCTGGCCTCACTGCTATAGCTTGTAAACATCAGTACGACTGGAGTATGGCCCAAGATATGTGTAGTTATAACAAGTTCTCCAAATGTTGCCAATGTCATGTACAGCTTCTGGTCAAGATGAAGTAACAGCAACCAGATTTATTCTCCTGTTTGAAACAACTGAAAAAACAGAATTTGTGAAACAATTTTCAAAGCACTGACATCAGCTAATAAAGAACAGGTCCCTGAGAGGTGAGAAATGAAGGGAGGCCTGTGATTGCCCTGGAGTACAGAACGTAAAGAGTTCCTAGGAGAAAGCGAGACCCTCAGAGTTCACCAGCATCTTCGTAAAGGCGATAGAGGTGGGAGTCCTGGAGGGCCAAAGAAGCTAAAGTTTGCAAGGCAGATAAAGGAGAAAAGAGAATGGCACATAAGGTTAGAGACCTGCTGAGTTTCCCTTAGATGAGTGCTGATCAAAAGATGTATGTGAAGAAATTACCTAAGGCTTCGGAAAGAACTACCTGAGGATATTAAAGTTAATACTCTCCAAAGCTTACATAAGGCCAGGAGTAGGGCCTTTATTTTGGCAATAGGTAGAACGCTCCAAAGAATTTTACCTCAGAAATGGGAACAAATGAGCCCTAGACTAAGCATTCTTCAGATGTTGTGCAATAAAAATTAAGAGCAAATTAAGAGCAATGAAGAGCAAATGAAAGGATCAAACTGTTACCAAGTAATTCAACAGTGTTCCAGAACAAATTCAAGAACGTTTAATGGAGTACCAAAATATTCAATGCCTAACAAGGTAATCTTCACAATATCTGGCATCCAGTCAAAAATGACAAGGCATACGAGGAAGCAGAAAAATGGGACTCATAATCAGGAGGAAAATGAAGAGAACTAGAAACAGTACAGCTGATGGAGTTATTATACAAAGGTATTAAAATCACTCTAATTGTATTCCATATGTTCAATAGCCAGAGGAAAGACTGAACATCTGAACTACATAGAGAAGTTACGAGTATGACTCAAACTAGCACCTACAAACAAAATCTATAATATCTTCAATGAATTAGATTCTGGACTAGAATAACAGCAGATTAGACATCACAGGGTAGTAATAAATAAAGAATAAGTACACCTGAAGACATAGTAATAAATCCAAAATAAAGCACAGAAAAATGATTGAGGGGAAAAAAATAACAGAAACAGCAAACTGTGTTGTGGATTCTAATGGCTTAATATTGTACACATATAATTGCAGTGAAGATTTTCCAAATTTGATAAAAACTATAAATCCACAGAACCAAAACATTCAATGAATGCCAGGCACCCAAAACACACCTTAACTCCACCAAGGCACACCAAAAATTGCTCAAAGGTGCTGATAAAGAAAAAAATCTTCAAAGCAACCAGAGAAAAAGGCATATTGTGTATACAAATAAAAAAAAAATTAAAATGACAGCAGACTTCTTGGAAAATAATACAGGACAGAAGGAAGTAATCCCTAAAATATCAAAATGAAAAAGCATAAACACAGAATTCCATATCCAGCCAAAAAATGATTTAAAAATGAAGGAGAAATTTTTTCTTTTTGGAATGTATAAAACCTAGAAGAATTCCTTACCAGCAGGCCTGGACTACAATAAATATTAAAAGAAGTCCTTTAGCTAGGTAAAGTGGCTCACGCCTGTAATCCTAGCGCTCTGGGAGGCCAACGCAGGTGGATTGCCTGAGCTCACAGGTTTGAGACCGGCCTGAACCAGAGCAAGACCTCATCTCTAAAAATAGCTGGGCATTGTGGTGGGCACATGTAGTCCCAGCTACTTGGGAAGCTGAGGCAAGAGAATCGCTTGAGCCAAAGAGTGTGAGGTTGCTGTGAGCTATGATGCCACCGCACTCACTGAGGGTGAAAATGTGAAACTCTGTCTACAAAAAAAAAAAAAAAAAGTCCTTTAGGTAGAAGCCAAATTATACCAAAAAGAAATATGTATCTACAAAAAAAAAAAAGAAGAAGAAACAGCACTGGAAATGATAAAATGTGAACAAATACAAAAGATTCTTTTCATTTAAAAGATAACATACTGTTTAAAGGAAAAATAATGTGTTGTGGGGTTTGTAACATATGCATTAGAGAATAAAATATATAACAATAATAGTATAGATGCTAGGAAGAGAGATGAAGTATAATTGTATGGTTCCATACTACACTGTGACATGTATAATTTCCCTTGGAAGTGGATTATGGTATGTTAAAAATGTATACTGTAAACCCAAAAGCAACCACTAGATAAGAGGAAAAGGTATATATACATATATTTTCAACAACATTTATAGCTAATGAGCCAACAAAAGAGTTAAAATGAAATCATAAAAAAATACTCAATCCAAAATAAGGCAGAAAAGGAGGGAAAAGGAAACAAAGGACAGATGAGACGAGAAAAAAACAGCAAAATTAGTAAACCCAATCCTATCAATAATTACAATAGGTTCAGCACCTGTGGTTCAAGTGGCTAAGGTGCCAGCCATGTACACCCAAGGTGGTGGGTTGGAATCCAGCCCAGGCGGCCAAACAACAATGATGGCTGCAACCAAAAAATAGCCAGGTGTTGTGGCGGGCGCCTGTAGTCCCAGCTACTTGGGAGGCTGAGGCAGGAGACTCGCTTGAGCCCAGGAGTTAGAGGTTTCTGTGAGCTGTGATGCCACAGCACTCTACCCAGGATGACAGCTTGAGGCTCCTGTCTCAAAAAATAAATAAATAATCACAATAAGTGAAAATGATATAAACATCCCAATTAAGAGATTATTAAATTGGATTAAAAAATTCAGATCCAACTTTCTATGCACTCTACAAAAAAAGATACTTTATTTTTTTTTCATTTTCTCAGTTATTGTTTTAAAACATTCACATTCTACTCTTAGAAAGATTCACTTTAAAAAGATACTTTATTGTTGTTATTGAGACAGAGACTCACTATGTTGCCCTTGGCGGAGTGCTGTGGCATCATAGCTCACAGCAACCTCAAACCTTGGGCTCAAGCAATTCTCTTGTCTCAGCCTCCTGAGTAGCTGGGACTACAGGCACCCACCACAACACCTGGCTATTTTTTTGTTGTTGCACTTGTCATCGTTGGTTAGCTGGCCCAGGCCGGGTTCAAACCCGCCACCTTCAGTGTATGTGGCTGGCACCATAACCACTGTGCTACAGGCTCCAACCCCCCAAAAACACTTTAACTACAAAGACATAAACAGGTTAAAAGTAAAACGGTGGAAAAAGATGTGCCATGAAAACACTGATCAAAAGAAAGATGGAGTGGCTATATATTAATATCAATATAGATTCAAAGCAAAGAATGCCATTTAGGACATACCAATTCTAA